TTATTTTAAATATTATTACTAATATTGTTATTAATACTTCATTTATATATTATTAACTAATATTTTAAATATTACTTATTATATTTCTTTTTTATATTTATATTATTATTATATTAAATAATATTTTTATTATTATAAAATATTTGTATTTTATTATTATCATTATATTTTATTTAATAAATAAATAAATAAATAAATTTAAATTAAGTAATTTTAAATTATATATTAATAAATTATAAATTTGGTAATATTACAAGAAATTAATTATATAAAATTATATATATAAATTACGTATAAAATATATTGATAAAATATATATAATATACGTAATTTTGTATATACAAATTATGTATACAATATACTTAATTTACATATTTTTATGTATCTGTAATTCTGTCTTTTTCTTATTTTTTATATGTAATAATTACATATATATTATATTATTTACAAATATCAAAAATATATTATTTCTATATATAATTCTGTATACAAATTTCTTATAGGGTATGTATTTATATTAATTATTTAAAATTTAGATTTATTTTGCTACTTCTTATTTTCTTAATAAAAATATATTTTTTATTCTTGAATTGATATATTTTATATGTTTATCTTTGTTAAATTATTTATTAAATAAAATTATTATAATTGTTCTTATAAATAAAAAATAAATTTTTTATTACTTTTTATATAATTATTAATAAAACATCTTAAAATTAAATTACAAGTTTTGGCACTTAACTTATAAATATGAAATTTCTATACTAATACATATAATTATTTTTTAAAATACTCTTGAATTTATTATTTCTTTATCACTTACTTTTTTTTAACATTTATTCTATTCTTTAATAACTTAATAATAATTTTCATATTTTATACTTTTTAAATTCTGTTTTATATAACAAAAATAAGTACTTCTTTTTCTTTTTACACTTCTTAATAAAGTTTGTAAATCTTAATATAATTTCTATTTTTATTTTATATTGTCAAGCTTTTTTAAAAAAGTCATAGCAATTAGCTTTTTTCTTTATAAATAATTTCAAAGTTATTATCATTAAGCTCTAAGTTTTATTTTCTCTTTAAAAATTTAATAAAAATATGAATGACTTATTTCTAGTTATGAAGATTGAAACTATGTATTAACTTCTGAATTATGAATTATATTAGTTAGATAATTTAATAAAAAAAAATTTTAAAAATTTTGTATTAAAAATTTTATCAGATTATTCTAGAATGATTATTCAAATTACTATTATTTTATTTAATAGAATATCTAGATTTTTTAATATGTTATCTTAAATTATTAATAGAACAATCTAAAAAAAGCTATAAATCCTATTGATGTATTTACGAGTATTAAATAATTTATAAACTTTATTAACCAGTATAAAATTTTTTTTTACATACAAATTTTTGTATTTATTAAAAATCTTTTTAAGATAATAGATATTTAGAAGAATAATATTATTTTTGCTATTAGATAAATATTAAAAATATTTATAATTATAATAATCAAACTTATAATCAAAATCTGTTAAATTAAAGAAAAGTTTTATTATTTTATTTATTACTTTGAGATTAGATTCAGATTTTTTAAACAAATAATATAATAATATAACAACAAAGTATATAATACAAAAAAAATTAAACATTTTAAATAAAAATTCATATTGGTTAAAATTTATCAATAAAGTATTAGATCAATAATAATCTAAAAATTATTAATATGATATACTAAAAGTAGCAACTATACAAAAAAGTGTTCTAGAACCTTAAAATATATAGATTTGATAAATTTAGTAGTATTTCAAAGTAGAATAATATATATATATATAAAAATAAGAAAATATATTTTAGGATACTATTACTAATAGATAAAAAAAGATTAAGAAGATAGAAAGATTCAGAAGAATATAAAAAAAAGAATATAAAAGTAGTAAAATTTAAATTAATTTAGTATTTTATATTTTATTTTCTGTAATCAAAAGGGTTTATAAAAGTGATATTGTAAAAATAACATAATATTAATATTTTGTATTTTACTTAATAAGCAAAAGATAGCAAATAGATTACAATATATTTTAAGCAAATAAATGAATTGCAAATTTGGTATTTTATGTCTCATCTAGCAATTAAGAAGTGTCAATTGAAAGGAAAAATATATGAATTATAAGTTTAGTACTTTGTATCTTAATCTGATAATTGAATAGAAACATGAAGATTTAATTATAAGCAAGTTTAATATTAATTTCTAGTAATTACATAGACTAGTCTTAATATTTTTGATTTTTTAACTATTTAATCCTTTAGTTTAAATTTTGATAAAATTCAAAAATAACAGAAAAGAAATAGAGTAATTTTGAGAAGCTTCTGAAATATACCTTATACATAATTTTTTAATGTAATAAATTACAATAATTAAACTAGCATTATTTTCTATAATTTTAAACTAAATTTAATTAAAATAGAATTATATAATTTGATTAAGTTATTTTTAAATAAATTGTTATAAATTTTTATATAATATTTAAAATTTATAAAATATTACTTAATACTAATATAATTTTTACAATCAATATCAACCTAACATTATCATAAAAAAATTACAGAATAATAAAATAAGTAAATAACTAAAAGGTAATAAAAAAAAAATAAAGTAATGAAAAATATGCAGATAGTTATAAGATAATAAAAAGATACAGAATAGTAAAAACAAATAGTTATTAACTTAGTTATAAAAAGCTTATAAAATACTAAAAATATAATTTAAGTAGTTTATTCATAACTAGATAGTAGTCTAATAAAATTAGATAACACTTTATAAGAATGTTATTTAGTAAAATTAAAAAATTAATTAATTCAAAAATTAATTTTATGTTAAAGTATAATTAAAATACTATTCTTTTTAATAATATTGTAGGCAAATTTACCTGCAATTTTATTAATAATTAAATTATTTTTAATTATTTTATATTATAATATTTTTTAATTAATTATTAATATTTTAATTATTTTATATTATAATATTTTTTAATTAATTATTGATATTTTAATTATTAAAAAAAATTTAAAATTTTAAACTCATATATCTTATTATCTATTAATCTCAAAAATGTAAAATACTACTATTTAATAGTTTTAATATGATGAATCCAATAAATTAGATTTTATTTTATTTTTTTTTATAATCATTAATAATGAGTTATTTTTAAAATTAAAAAATTGAAAATTTGATATATTGATAATTAATAATTTAAAAAATTTATTGTATTAGTATTAGATGTATTTAATATGAAAAATTTTAAAAAATTTTTTATAAATAATTTTATACTTATCATATAGAAGAAATAATATTTATAAATAATTTTATATTTATTATTTAAAGGATAACATTTTATTTATATTAGAAAATATAGTATTTGATAAATTTTAATAATAATATATTTTTTTTTTATTAGTGCGGATATATTATCATTTTTTTTATTAAAAAACAAGATTAAAAAACTAAAATTTAAATAAATCGAACAAATATTGTATACTGGTAAATTTATTCTTTTGGATGAAGTATATGGAAAAGTATATTTAAAAGGAGTATTAATCAAAATATGGACTGTTATGTAAACTACATGTTTATATTTCATTTTACATACAGTAATAAGAAAAAATCGGTTAAATTTAATAATAATTTGTGACAAGTTCTACATTCTATAAATAACTTTTCAATCATCGGATATAATAAAACGGAATTCAACGGAAATTACTTAGTATCAAAGTTTGAGGAGAATTTTTATTAGTAAAATGGATGAAAGCTTGTACGCCGGATTTACCAATTCACATACTATGAATATCTTCATACCTTTGTGTAAGGTGAGTGTGGGTATATTTTCTTAAGAGATTTTGGGGGAAAGTAAAATTCACCCCGTTTTAAATAAAAGAAAAAAAAAAGAGGGTATAAATACTTTTTTTTTTTTGTTCATTGATAACAAACCTATTATTACACATACTAATATTATTATAGAGTGGGCGTGGATGGCAATATTTCTTTTTCTTTCTTTTCATTCCATTAAGAAAAAAGAAGGTTGACCCTATTGCACATAATAGTAAACTTATTACACAATAACCCACTAACAAAGCCTTAATTGAACATGATTTTCCACAACAATTATGAATTCTTACAATCATATGACTTTTATAATAATCAAATATATAATATATATAATAAGTAATGCATTCATAAGGTCATATGGTGTTTATGATTACTATATGTGTATATATCACGATAATACTTTTATTTGCCAGGTGCAACAATTCCCAATCTTGACTTGTATATGAACTTGTTATCTTGTAAATAATGAGGCGCAGCAAATTAATTATTCTCATTTAGCCGTAGAAATATTTCATTATTTAAGCCTTGTGATTTCTTTGTCAATCATCACCTTATAAACCGTTTAAACGAACGGAATTTATTAGTTTGCTTTGTTTATTATTAGATGAATAGAATTGACAAAGGTGAGTTTTTTATTCTGGGCTGTGAGTAACAAAATTATGAAATACAATAACCGTTAATATTAATAAAGGTTCTTTTTTTTTTCTTTTTTTTTTTTTTTTTTTTTTTTAAATAGTATATATATATGATATATAATAAGAATAACACGTAAGTAATACTAGATTACTTTTTTTGCGCCGATGTGAGTATTGCTAGTGTTAGGGTGTACTAAATCCGCATATGAAGTATATACTTCATATGTAAGACTGTTCATATTAGAATATGTATGTCATATATTTGTTAGTATTATGCAATATACTGATATGATAAAAAAAAAAATCCCCCCATAAGACAGACATATACACCCCATATACCACATATATAATAGAGGAAAAAAAATACCGTCGAGTCAAACCCCCCAACATACCTGCTTTTCTCGCTACTACCAAACATATATCAACTTGCTCTCATCATCTTACCAAACCTCTAGTACTCAACTTGAAATTTCAGAATGCCTAAAGCCAAACCTACAAAGAAAGCTACCAGTGGTGAGTATTTTTCGTCTTTGTTTCAAGTATATATATGTGTATATATAATATATGGGAAATTTAAACCTCTTAATTCAAGAGCGTGTCCTTCCAAATTGTTATTATAAAGAATACTTTGGAGGGGACGGGGAAGCCCTAATTCCACGTTATTTCACGCTTTTTTTTACTGCTTGTATACCGCGCTGACAAACTTTGTTAGACCGCGACTGTACATATATTTCTATATATACCTTAATATGTCGCTCGTTCCTTCTAATATATTTCTTTGTCTACTTCATTATTATTTAAAATTTTTAGGTGGAAAGAGAAAACTCTCTCCATATAACGCCTTCATGAAGTCTGAACTACCTAAAGTTAAGGCTGAAAATCCTGACCTTGAACATAAAGCCGCTTTCAAGCTTGTCGCTGAACGGTGGAAGAACAGCCCTGATAATCCGAAGGTAATTTTTTTTTTGTTCATTTGTTCTCTCTTGAAAACCCGTAATCTCAAGGATGTCATTATCATTTGCCAAGTTTTGGTGGTTTTTCCTCACGTTTTTCGCTTAAAAAAATTTTTCCAACCTTCTTTTTGTTAATAGAACCAGACAAGTTAAATGTCACGTGATCAAGGCTTCTTCTTTTCGAACAAATAAATTGATACTTTCTATGACTTGAATTTAAATCTACACGTTTTAAAATTTAATACAAAGTGGTTTAGTCGTAAATATTGAATTGAGGGTTCTTTTTCCCTCCATTTCATATCAATTTTATTTCTTTTTCTTTCCAATTGTAAACATTTTTTTTTTTTTTTTTTTTTCAAAAATTATTCATATAAATTTTCAAAACCTTAACTTCCGAAAAAAATTTGGAATTTGTTTCTTATAATCTGGTGTTTTGTGTAAATAAAAAAAAAGAAATTTTTTTTCTTTCACAATAAATAATTCAAAGTTCTGTGGAAATTACTTTGTGCATTATGTATCTTGTTTATTATAAATTGATGATTTTATTGAGTTTTGAAAAAAAAATTGCCATTTCATTACCTTATATGATTTGTAACGCGAAAAAAAGTGGTTGGATTTTTTCATAAAATGAAATTCCTCAAAACATTAATTACGTTCAAAAGTTAGATTATCATAACCATTTGAAATAAAGTGACTAAAAATGGTAAAATGACATTCGTTAAAAGTCGCGTAATTATTTACAAGTCTTTATCATATAGTATAATAGAATCATAAAAATGATTCTTTGAAAAAAAAAAAAAAAAAGGTAGTTCGTGATTTTGGCCGGAATTAAAAATTTAAGCCAAGTACGTTGATTTAATATGAGAGTTGATTATCCAATCACCATATATCTACTGATTAATGTGAACTACTATTTTTTTAAAAAAAATGTCTCGCTTAACTGAAGAACGTAATCAAGATGCTACTGTCTACATTGGTAATCTTGATGAACGTTGCACTGAAGCTCTGATTTGGGAATTAATGCTTCAAGCAGGGCCTGTCGGTAAGTCTCTTTCTCTATTCCTACTTTTTTTATTTTTATTTTTATCGAGCTTCGATCAATATTTATTATTTTATCTTTCAATAGTCAACGTTCACTTACCAAAAGATCGCGTAACTCAAACCCATCAAGGATATGGGTTTTGTGAGTATATGAGTGAAGACGATGCAGATTATGCTATCAAAATAATGAATCAGATCAAGTTATATGGAAAGCCTATACGTGTTAATAAAGTGAGTGAGTGAGTGGGTGGGTTCATTGAAATTTTCCCATTAGTTTACTGTATATAATTAATTGACACTTTCCGTCGTATCATTATTATTAGGCAACGTCGGATAAGAAGAATTTGGACGTGGGCGCTTCATTATTCATAGGCAATTTGGATCCTGATGTCGATGAAAAAATGTTATATGATACTTTCAGTGCCTTTGGTGTGATCGTGCAGACTCCAAAGGTATGCATGCGGTTTGTTATTAGTTTGTCTTATAATCTTTATCATTATTAAAATCGTTTATTTTATTTATAGATTGCAAGAGATCCCGATACTGGTAATAGTAAAGGATATGGGTTTATTTCATACGATAATTTCGATTCTTCAGATGCAGCAATTGATGCGATGAATGGGCAATATTTGATGAACAAGTCAATCACTGTGTCATACGCGTTCAAAAAGGATGGTAAAGGTGAAAGACATGGAAGTGCTGCAGGTTCGTATTTTCCTTCAAAATACATGCTTTTTTTTTTAAAAAAAAATAAACGTATATATACTATATATATTTTTTTTTTCACCACCGACATCCCTGTTCTAAAACCTCTTCCTCTTACATCTATAGAACGATTGTTGGCGGCTCAAGCAAAGAAAAATCAAAGTTTGCCGAATCGTTTATTTGCGGACGTTCGTCCACCTACGATTCCACACGGAGGATATCATGCACCGGGAACAACTACACAGACGGCAACACAACCTCCACCTAGACCATCTGTTATAAATGTAGCGCAAGGTGTGAATATCAATAAAAAATAAACTTTTTGATGTGTATCTGAATGTTTCTCAATTAACGCTAATGTCATCACTTGTAAATTCTCTCCTAATCAGCTCGTCCACCCCCACCACCTACATTTGGAACTTCAACTCCTAATCGACCTCCTTTTTCACCACCATTACGTCCTCCTGGTCCTTACGGCCAGTATCCGTCATTTCAAGGTACCACAACAACTGGACAAGCTCCAAATCCTTCTGCTCCACAAGGGTATAATGGATATGGTGCAGGATTATCACGGTGAAAAGTTTTTTATTTATCATCAAATTGGTTTTTTTTCCTCTTCTTGTATAGACATGAATTAAAATTTTCTGAATTTTTTTTTTATGTTACTTTTGTTGTAAATGAATGAATGCACGTGTAATTTTTTATTTGATTTGAACCGAGATGATCGGGGTAAGAAACAATATATTATAACGGGTCGAAATTTTATTGCTTTAAATTCATGATTATTTATGATTGGACTTTTATTATTATTTAAATAATATATTGATATATATATATATACAGTATATATATACAAGGTTAAGCTAATACTGTATATTAAGAAATTATCAAATTTGCAATAAATTTTTACATTTTAGGTTGTGTGTTTTGATTTTTAACGAATTCTAAAGATTTTTTAACGTGTCCTTCAAAATCCATCATGGAATTGAAAACATCGCGAATAATACCATCTTTGTCGATTAAAAAGGTAGCCCTACCAGGCAAGAAGCCAAGAGTCTTTGGAACCTAAATGAAACAAAATGAAAAATAGTTAAATTCTTTTTAAATCAATAATAAAGAAAATTTTAAAATAGCGAATGTGTAGATACATTGAAGAGCTTCCTTGCTTCATTGTTTGGATCGGATAATAACGGGAATTGAAGTCTTTGAGAATCAGAAAATTGCTTGTGTTTATCAACAGGATCCGAAGAAATACCAACTACGGTAGCACCAGCATCAGAGAAAACGGAATAAGAATCACGAAAGCTGCATACCTAAAATTAAGATGAATTCAATATACGATTTAGATGAGAAGGATAAACCTTTTTTTTCTATAAAGTATTTAGTACCTCTTTGGTGCAACCATAAGATTCATCCTTGGGATAAAAGAATATGACCGATGGTTTACCATTACCAACCAAAGATTTTAATTCAACCAATTCACCTCCTTGATTTTTAAGAGCAAGGTTAGTAGGAGCAGGTTGATTTAATAAAGTATGGTGAACGGTTGAAAACATTTTATTTGAGAAAGACTTGTTAAATGAATCTGATAAACCAGATAAATTTCTAATAACGGATACTCGTCGCAGATAAAATTGTGTAGGTTTGCGAAACATGTGAGAAGAAGTGTTTTGTATTATATGATAAATAATTTTGCTGATTAATTAAATTTCCTTATTTGTTATGTTAACGGAAAAAAGTTTAAAGTTATTTCTTGTATAACGAATTGACACGTGAACGGGAAATTAATTTAGCGGATTCTTCTATTATTACAAATCGATTCTCGGAATCACACATTTATAATTTACTAGATTGGTTGCTTCGGCTCGCTAAATATAAAGTAATAAATATGAGACATATAGCTCAAAAACCCCCCCCCCCCTTTTAGTAAACTTACTTAGAAATGTCAATACGGCTTGACGAGAATCTTCAGAAACTAATCTAATATTAACGTAACGAGTAAATAAATGATTCAACCTTCAATATTTTTTAAAAAAATCGATCTTTACAAATATATAACTTTATTACCTTGATAACAATAACTCATTTTCACGCTGATTGATTTTATGTAGAAATTCTCTTTCATTTCTACGGATTAATTTCTTTGATTTTATTATAGCTTCGAAAGAAAATTTTGAAACTCTCGTTGCCTCTTTTAGTGTCTCTTGAATTAAATGATCTTTTGGTATTAAACGACTAAATCAAATTGAATTTCTCGGTTTAGAACATGAATTCGACTCATGATAATGATTATTAGATTAATTTTTACCTGATGAACCCGACTTTTGCTAATTCTGGTGCCGCGTATGTTTTGTTCATTAACTATAAGAATAAACATTGAAATTAACTAAAATATAACGAATTGATGCTTTTCCCGCATAATTATGCATACCAACATTTCACTAGCAATCGATTGTCCAAGGTACCTTAAATTAATTAATATATATATTAATTACTTTTTTTATAAAGAGAAAAAATTAAAACTTGTTATTTAATATAAACTCACTTTGGAAATAGATACGAAGAACATCCCTCCACACAAAATGCTAAACATTACGAAAAGTTAAGTTTATATAAATCATTTATTTTTAAACCACTAATTTTGTCTTAACAAATATATATATAATTTACCCCATTGCATGAATGGAGTTAGAAAAGTTGCTTCTGGTACGGAGTAAACTACATCGCAATGTGGTAGAAACGTAACTCCAAATCCAAACGCTTTTCCTATATACGGATTAAAAATTTATAAGATGGGAATATAAAATATAAAACCTTTTAAAACTTCATATTTACCATTAACGGCCGCTATCAACAACTTTGGAAAATCAATTAACAAATCAACTAATTGTCTACGATAAATTTGATAAATGATTCAATTTTAAATTTTTTTCTTTACCAATTAAATTTCAATTTACCTAAATAAATTAACACATTTTTCTGCAATTCTTTTCAATTCTTCCTCGTTAGATATCTCAGATAATTCCAATCCGCTACAGAAGAAATTTCCTTTTCCTGTTACTACAACAACTTTTACTTGTTCTGCTTCAGTTGCCCATTCAATCGACCTAATCCAATCCTAACAGCAATGAAATGTAAAATTCGAGTTGCTCGAAACTGCTAACGAATTTAAAATATACGCGTTCTTACCTGTAAGAGCTCATTATTCAATGAATTTGCGCGTTCGGGTCGATTCAAAGTTAGAATAGCTACTCCTTCTGGACTGACTACTATTTCAAAGGTTTTAAGTGTGGGTATTGGTTTACCCATGACTATTTTCTAAGGAAAAAAATAAGTTTTCCCAGATTAAAAATTCTGTAAATTGGTCGATCGTTTTGATCAACCAATCAACAGAAGCTAACATGAAAATAATTTTTTACAAATTGAAAAATTGGAGTATAAAACTAGCCAGTATTTTTTCATCCAGTACCCACCGGATACTAATTTGATATATGTAATGTAAGTGAAAGTGCACATGATCACTGACCAAATGTATTGATTTACTGTATGACCAGTATAATAAATAGTTATATCGAAAAATTTTTATTGATAAGATTTATAAAATATGTAGTATTTTATTTATCTTATTTAACAAATGATATAAAAAGATTTTTAGAGTATATTAAATAAAGTTTTTTTTTTAATATTGAATTAAATTTTTGAGAATATGAGAAATATATAAGTTAAAAAGAAAGTAAATATAGAATATTTATGAAAATAAATGAGGATTTGTATTAGAAATGGTTGATAATCTTTGATATTCTAATATGACATCTTGATTTGATATGAAGGCAGATCTGTCCAGGTGGGAGATTTCAATATTATTCCAAGTAGAACATTGGCTTAGAGCAATATAAGCTTGACCAGGTGAGAAGATGTTACCGTCTAAAGTTAGAGATACCCTTGGTAAAGTTAAACCTTGAATCTTATGAACAGTTAAAGAAAAGCAATTTTAAGAGAAAATTAGGTACAATGGCAATTGTTTCCATTTATTTCAAAATAATAGGTATGTTTATAAATGTTAATGTTAATGATTGAACCTCTAATAAAGAAAGCAATTTGAGCATATTTTTTAGAAGGACAAACATCAGTAATCATATCTATTGTACCATTACATATATTATGTTGAATAAGAGAATTATTTAGATATATTACTCGTGCATCTGATTGTAAGAGAATAGATCGTGAAAGATTTATTTTTAGTTTAAATCTGAAATTTGATAGTAAAAGTTCCTATTGTACGGTATTTACAATATTTATAACCTATGAGATTTTGTAGCGATTGAAAGAAGATTGCATATTATTCTATTAATCTGATGAGCATTTTCTTTAAATCCAATAATATATGTAGTGTCAGTAGGCAGGTGAAATAAGAATTCTGAATGTTGTTGTTGTAACCTGATCTAAGTTTCGTCAGAAATATTTCCTATTCAGACATCTTCTAGCATAAAGTAAAATTCTTTATTTTGACTTTGATGATGTAAAGTTCTTAAGAATAATAAGTAGAATAAAGGTTAGATAGCTATGTAAAATACTTGTTGACCATTTATTAGTGAAAGTTGAGCTAGATCTCTAACTACTATGACATTTAAACTAAAAACAAGAGCATTTTCATGAAGGTTGGCAAATATGTTTGAGATAAAGTCTAAGAGTTCAGCAGAGATCATAGATACTTCTTCAATATTAATAGTATTAATTTTCTTTAAAAAGGTTCTTAGTTCATTATTTATATAAACACATGTGAGAAATCCACTATGTGTAGATGTAATATGTAATTCTGAATGGATGGTAGTTCTTTTTACATTTTGAGTAGCTACACCAGTGAGAGCAAAAAGAAAATAAGGTTATGGTTTTTAGATAAAGATGTTTTTTATCATATGAATAATGAAAGCTTTTCCAGTTTTAGCTAAACTGGTAATAAAGAAGTAAGGCTATTTAACGTCATTATTTTTACTCATATATATGTTGATAGTTGAAAGAGCATAGTATTAATCATGAGGGAATTCAAGCATAGCAGTTTTAGAAAATATATAAAGAAGCATCATTAGATTGTTCATTTGAGATTAAATAATATTTGAGAGGTTTGTGAAAAGTTGATTAGCTAATGATTCTAGTAATCTTTATAATATTTTAGCAAAACAATTATTTAGATATATCATTTAGAATTGATATATGGTTATAGTTTGATTCTATAAGTCATTTAAGAATTCAAAATATAGAAACAAAAATTTTTTACAATATATTCTATCAGAAATAATCTTAAAATTAGATTTATTTTATATAGGTATATTTAGTAGTAATTGTTGATAAAAGTAAAGTTTTCTATCAGCAATTTTAAAAAATTAATACTTGATTATAATTTCTTTTGATCATTTGATGACATAATTTCCTAGCTTATCATGATAAATTTGACGTGTAGTTCTAGGTGGTGAAAAGAGTATAACTAAATATTTTTTAAAATATTGAGGGTAAGTGAAGATTTTAAACTCTTGATTACAAGGTTAAAACATATATTTCATAATAGTATTATTGTAATAA